ACAAGAGACCAAGTCTTTGTTTTGATCTTAGGGAAACATACATTATCGCGCAAAATTGTTCGATCGTGCGAATCACTGCGACGTCGAGAAAAACAGAACCCAGCATCATTGGTATACTACTCCACTATAAGCAGTCCGTTGATAAAAAGGGAAAGCAAACTCTGCTATTTTCCAAAATTATGCTCCAACACAAACAGTTCAAAAACATGGCATTTACAGGATCTAACTCGTACTAAGGTGCCTCTCTAAGTCCGTTGAGAACAATCTGGACGAGCAAACGGTCATGTTTATCTTTGCCGTGAATCGAGATAAATACAAGAAGGAATCTAGCGAATTTTAGAATGTTTCCTTCGCCAGGAGTTTAGTTTCACACGAAACTCATGGCCTGATGCTCTTGTAATCGTTTACAAAAACGGCCGCCGCCAACTCGATAGCCGCTTCATTATATGTCCACATACTTTGAGCACAAGAAAAATCCAAGAGCCAGCAGCCTCTAAAATAACTCAATAGAAAGGTCCTGTGAACTATAGGAAGATTCCATCAAAGATTCCATCACTCATTGTGGAGTAGCCGTCATTAACTCTGCCATTACAACGGCCGCTGATAAGAGGACACAGTAAATCCACGTAAAAACATTCCACAGGCAAACAATTTTAAAATAACGCCAAAAAATTGTTCTGTAATCACCATAGAATGATTCTTAATACAAAACTTCGCTAACTATCGAACGATGGCTGAGATTTAGACAGATAAAAACAGCCTTCCAAAATCTCCGACACAACTTGAAAAAGTTGGGCTGTCTTTTTCAAGTTTGTTTTCATTGGCTCGCGCATGCGTGTTGGGTGACATAGCCCCTTTAGTAGAGTGCTGTAACATAGGTTGCAAATAGTTTTAAAAATATGAAAGTATGTTCTTCAAATAATATCAAGAGAAACTTGATTCAAGAACCAAAAAACGTTGATTCACATCGATAGCTCTGGTTTTCGCTATGTATAAATTCTTGCTTGATAAGCAATGAAGACATGCATGCATAAAATCGAGAACATGCCTTTACAACCCTCTTCACTTTATTCCTGTCCTTGACAGATTAGCCAATCTGCTTTTTTTCCAGTAAAACCTTCTGTGTAGTCATATTCTGATAGGAAACGGCATGCATGTCAAAAGCTCGGGAATGGCCCCGGGGTTGGCAAATGCCCAGCCCCGGGGAGTGCAAAATTTGCAATTGCCCCACCCCGCGACTGACAAGGCAGGCAAATGCCCCGCAGTAGCCGGGGGGGGGGGGTGCTGTGCGCAGCTTGACTTGATTGATGCATTACAAACAAGCTACAGTTGTGTTACGCGTGTTACTTATGATTATACAAAAGACAAGGATGCGTTTTGATTTGGACTCCAGTGAACCTTGCGTTCAGTTGGCATGGTGTATGTACAGGGTTTCAATATAAGCGCCTCTTCTCTTAGAATCCGTTTAGTTCTCTGCTAGCGCGATTGCAAACCGAGGCTCGCGTGCTTGGGTTAATTCTCTTGCAGCAACTTTGCAAAGAAAAATAAGAGACTGCTCGCAGTCTAATATAAGCTTAACACATCCCTTTACCTGCTAGCTGAAGATCTCGAATTCCTACAACTGCTCCTTCAGCTTTGCTGCTGACGTTGACCAAAGAGCACAAGTTTTGTGGTCGACAGTTAAGAAAGAAACAGTCGTAGTTCTGGTGTTCATCATTAGAAGGCTGACGAGGATAAAACAGATACACCGTACAGTTAATATTACCACAGCATCCCTGTTCACAATCCACTGAAGAATTCACTGTCATCGCCTTAGGAACTGAGACGATTCCGCCTTCTTTCTCGGCATTTTCTTTCGCCTGCTTGATGTTGACCATTTCGCCGTGCAATCGCTGCAACATCGAACATGAGTTCACCTCGCCTCGTCCAAAATTTACGCCCAGTAATGACACAATTAGAAGACAAATTGTAGACAGCCTCATTGTAGTGTTTCCTCGTTGCTTATTCATGGTCAGTAAGAGATAAAGGCTCTCAAAATTGCGGAAAATTCTCACCTAACCAAGCCATCGCAAAAGAACAACATACAAACAACACGTAGAACACGTAGCGCGTCTTCAAGTCAACAAGTCACGTGATATGGTTAGTGTTTCTTACATGAAGGTTTGTTTCATATGCAGCTGAGCCAAAACATCGCGGGTGCTTGTTGGAGACCGAACGAGCGATGAGAGTATTTCGGTTTTGACGAGTAAAACGAGAAATTCTGTCGTAAACGTTGTTTAAAAACTGGCCTATAACAATTTGAAGAATCATGGATAACGATGGCTTACCGATTGTGGGACCAAATGTAGATTTTACGCAGGTATTGTTGCTCTGACACTGTAATCATCTCTACAATCACAGACAAAAGTAGTTGGGAACGTTGTACAACTTAACAGTAGTCCATTTTAATCCTGAAAAAAGAGAGTTTTCTCTTTTGCTAAATATCCCGCGTTCCCCCTATTCAATTTTGGGATATAACAGAACAATTACGCACACAGACATTAGCGTTTTGATCAACATCAACCTTCCCAACACTTTTGACGATGATTGTAGATCTTGCACTGCCCCTAGCAAGATTTACACTGCAAATCTCAAATCTGGAGATTTTTCTTTGGTACTACATCTTCCCTCAAATAAACCTCAGATCAAAGGGAGCTCTGGTACAATAATCCCCACAGGTTCTCTCTTACCTCTCTTGTGGCTTTGCAGCTCCATTTTCATTTATTAAGCAGAAAAGAGAGAGAAAACGTTTGAGACCAGGGTAAGGCCAGTTTCAAACGTGGCGCTACTGTCGTGTTACTGTGCGAGCAGAGGCTACATTTTCACTGTTTGAGTGGTTGTGCAAAAACTAGCGTCTGCAGACAACCGTTCAATTTTCTATCATGCATGCACGAAATTCTTCACACGATTCTCAAGCAAAATTAATTGTCAGGTCTGTCGTGAAATGGCGCAAGTTTCGCAGTAATAAAAAATTATGACAGCTCTTATTTGCTACGCAAGACTCATGCAATGCTCTAAACCGGTCAAGAACAGGAAAAAACCCGTTTTTTAATTTCTTTGTTGAGATTTCTGGACAGATTTGTTGGCAGAGGCTACATGCCAGCTCACACAGCGAAAATGTAGCCTCTGCTCGCAGGGTACTGCCGTGTCGAACTCAAATGAATTTGACCTGGCAGTTACATGGCAATAGCACAGGAGTGGTTTCAAACGTCAAATTTAATTCAGTTGTCTCGCCAAATTTAAAATAAAGAAAACATCGCAATCAGGCTCAGTAGAGTCAAAACACTTAAACATATATGTTCATAATAAATTTAAGAATTGAGTTTGCAGGGGTTTCAATAAGTTTTTGCATAAGTGGGTACTTAAGAGTAACAGGTGGGTATATTTGCCAAAGGCCCCAAGGGCCTTCGACCCTAGGGGGGTCCGGGGGCATGCTCCCCCAGAAAATTTTGAAGTTCTAGACTCTCGCAGATGCATTTTCAGGTCTTTTTTTGTTGCTTTGTTTTTACATTTTTTTGCTCCTAAGTCAACTTATTTAAACAAATTTGAAGAGAATTATGTTACAATCAAGTAGTCATAGTCAAAACCTATTTTGCCAAATTTTTGGGCAAGAATTCAAAGCTGAGATGAAATTATCTGGTCTTAGTTGACGTTCATGTGAAGGCTCCAAGCGGGTAATCAGCCCGTTGCAAGCGGGTAGATCTACCCGCTACCCGGCTACTATTGAAACCCCTGAGTTTGGGACAGCAATAACGCGACGTTTGAAACTGAGCCATTCCACTGCTGTGTAGCACAGCAGACCCTGTCGAATTTGCTGTGTCAAACTAAATTCAAGTTGCTGAACTGAATGATTTCAAACGCTGCGCAACTGCTGTGCCAAAGTTGAATTAAATCTATCAATATTTTATTGAATTCAGCACGGAAGTACAGATGTAGCATGACATTTGAAACCAGCCTAAGCAAGGTCTTGAACTCTCGATGCGTGAACCAAGTATCGTAATCAAGCATATAAGATCACCAGCAGATTTAAGTGTTGGCCAGACCTGCACACCTTTTGAATCTCCAATTTCATTGGTTGCCATAACTTTACCTAGACTTCCTGTTGGTTTGAGGGGTCCTTGATATACTATTTTGGGCATCAACATTTGATAAAAAAGGATTAGAAACTACTGGTACAATATTTTTTGAAATGTGTAATGTTTTGAATTCTTTTTCAGGTTGGACCAATTAACCACAAGAGAACCTTGGCATTTCTCAATCATTTTATTACACATTCAGTCAGATTCTTAAATAGATTTTCCTGTGTGTGTGAGGAGGTGAGTGAGCATAGATCAGGTTTATAATAATATTGTGAGGCAGGCATTAATGCATTGAGTAAAGTTTAAACTCATCAGTAACTACCAGTAATGGATGAGTGTGTCTGAAAGGTGACTGCAAGTCAAAGTCAAATGGGGCCAATAATGTTAAGAGAACCAAAATGACTTTGAAAAACAATTGGCTTCCTGAGAAAACTTTATGACATTAAAATATCCATAAGGTGTTATAATAGTCCAGTTTCGAGTTCGTTATGACCGCTGAATAAAAGAAGTGAAGACGCATTGTACAGGCTTAGCCTCCATCTGAAGTAAATACAAAATAATGTATATTCACTAGGTTCTTTGCATGACTTGATCTCGTGATCAACTTTCGGTAAACACAAAAACATTTGATTTTTGAAAAATTTTGTTTGCACAAGCTGAAAGAGCATATTAAAATTAGGTAACCTGAGAAGTTTCAACCGTATGTCTCAAAAGTAGCGATCGCAATGGTCGTCGAAAGTTGCAAGCATTTTTATGAGAAAAACAACTTTTGCCATGCAGTCATGCTTGCATGGTTTTCGATACAAATCCTTGTAATTTCGAAATTTTCAAAACTTTCATGAAATATTTCCTTAAGGATTACAGGCTCAAATCTCCTTTTAATTCATAACAGGCAATTTGAGCCCTTAAATTTGTAAGAGAAAGATTTAAAGACAGTTATTTAAAGACATACAAGCGTGACTGGGTGGCAAAAGTTTTTTTCCTCTTACATATGCTTCTAACTTTTGGTGGCCATTATTTTTCAAATTTCAAACACTTACTTGCAGGAATTTGTGAAGATTTTACTTTATATTGAGGCTAAATCTGTATGAATTATGTGTCATAAGTGTTTGTATTCAGCAGTAGCTTTTAATTTAAAACTGGACTTTTCCCTGGAAAAAATTAAATCTTGAAGGATTCCTTTTTAGGAAGTACAATATTACTTCAATCAGTCAGTCACAGTCAATGGGGGGGGGAATCCTCCAGCCAGCCCTAATATGGCTTCTTTCATTTAATTTTAGTTGTTAGTGAATGAGTGCATAGGCATGTAACAAACAGCGATTCCAAAGGGTTAAAGATGATACATTTTGACTTAGAACTGCTGTTATTATATTACAGATATCATTTTTAGTAATCAGTTTGGGCAAAGAATGGAAGCATTAATTTCTACAATATACATAATCTTTTTAAAATTTTATAATTCATTAATATGGTTTTGTTTGGGACATTACAGAAGTTAGCAGAATTGTCAACTAAGATACAAAGAATTGAAATAATGATGAGCATCCTAGAAGCCAAGGTAGGTATAGTAGAAATATTCGTTGATCTCCCACAGAAGGAATTTTGATCCAAGCCCCTCCCTAGCTTGAACCCACAGGAATTCCAGTTTACTTAATTCATGCTTCCCCTTTAAACTCATTGACAAGATGAGCTTGGGAGTGGATGCCTTAATTGGGAAGGGCCGGGGGTGCAAAAGGTAGCATTGCCTTGGAGGTGACCATAGCGTCAGTTACCAAGACCTGGTTCAAATGCCGAACTTTTCATGAGCCGAACCTAATTCGAATCAAGGCCGACCGAAACTATTTAGACCACCTGAATTAATTCCAGCCGAACTAAATTCAAAAGGTGAAAAATGTTCATTTTGGTCAAACTGCTTGTAAAATACGTTAATAAATTATTATTTCTTTATGCATTAAGTTCGGTACATGAAAAGTTCGGTGTCTGAATCAAAGCCGTTCCAAAGTTGTTCCACAGTCAAAATTCCTGGCTGGGCTAGGCGTGAAGAACAGCTGAGCCGTTTCAAATTGAAATAGGCGTTCCTAATTGATTCAGAAGCCGAACTTTTCGTAATACTTAACTTTACTTAATACTTAATTACTTAATTCAATGTATTAAGTTCGGCTGATGAAAAAAACGGCATCTGAACCAGGCCTAAGTGTTCGTTTAATGCGCAAAACCTATTTATAGCAAGGATTTACAATGATCTGCTAAAGGTGACAGTTTAAGAGAGATGAAGCAATAGCCATTGGACGCACATCATATTGTAGTACATGCACAGCTGACATTTTAATGAGTTCATGCGGGCAAACTGTCTTGTTGTCTTGTTTGATGACTAATGTTTTTTGTTTGTCTTATACAGTTGGCGTCAATTCCAGGCCTCGAGGATGTGACAGTGTCAACACCTGCTCCAGCTCCATCTGGTAGTGCAGCCTCCACTTCTGCCCAAGCAACAGCTCCACCTCCTCCTCCTTCTGACACACCACAAACAGCTGCTGAGGTAAACGACACATTATTAATTTGTGTAAAAGCTGTATGTTTATGATTGATAATATAGTAAATGTAAATACATAGTTGTTCTTTCACTGTCTCTTTTTTGTGAATCTTATTAGACAATTAGAAAAGAAGACTGACAATAATATTACTTTTAGTCGTAACAATCTGTGTTGAGCATGCATTGGTGTTGACAAGCAAGAATTTTCATGCTTTATCTCACTGATATTTTAAGACATGTTTACGATATTTTCTTCACTGGCATTTGTAAAAATTAACCTTTGGCCATATGGTATGAATTCAAAAAGGTATGGGTTTTTTTTCTGATAATAGTTGGAAAAAGTATTTATATTGCTGAGGGCTCGGTGATGAAAGGTCAGCATTTTAATCCTAACAGACATGCATGCTGGAAAAATTTGGTTCTAATAGTTTCATCCATGAATGTAAGTGATGGACAGGTTAAATAAAACAGCATTATTTTTTATGACACAGCAACTTACTTTCCTCACAAGAACATGTCCACTAGTAGTAGAAAATAGTAACAATGTCATAGAAGTTTCCCTTACTATTAAACTGCAACTCCAGTCTACATTTCTTCCACAGGGACCCCCTGCACCTCCCACAGATCAACCAGGTTAGTGCTAAAGGATTGTGGGAATCTTTTGCATAGTAGGAACTGAATCCTTGCTCACTTCATCAGTTTCATATTTATTGAGCTGCCCCTGAGGGAAACACCCAACCAAAAAATGAGAGGCAACATTCTTTCTTCATGTACCGGTATGTCAAAAAAAGACAAAATGGCAGACAAAACTCCCAGAAGGCTTTGCGTGTCCCATTCCCCCTTCAATGGAAC